CCCGTCTCCCGCGCCCGTCGGCGTTCCCGGACCGCCGACCCACGCGTCCGCGCACTCGTCGGCGCACCGTCCGCCAAATAGGTGGCGGTGGCGCCGGCCGCGGAGTGGCGGGACGGCGGCGGTGGCGTTATGGGCGTCGCAGGGGTAGGGGACGGTGTTGGTCGCGGGGTCAGTCGGTGCGCGTTGCGCCGGCGTCGGGGACCTCTCCCCACCGTTGCCATCGCGACCCGGCCAACCTCGGAACCTAACACCCTGCCGCCGGGCACCCAACTCTCTCGCCGCCTTAGGCGGCGAGTGGGGGGTTCAATGTCTCCTTGTTTTATGTTTTATGGTTATTTTGTTTAAATTTTTGATGGAAAAAAAAAAAAGATTAAAAAAAAAACTTTGTCCGACCTACCGACCTTATGCTGACATTTCATGTTACCGGAAACACACTATCTTTTTTGTTTGGCCTAACTGCAAGCCATCTTATACCAAATGCGGAAGTGCTGCGTGCATAGAGTCCATTCCTTTCCTCCAATACCTTGGTATTTGGAAGCCTTCAACCATTTGCTATTTTCAATGACAATGATGTTTTGTTGTCATAGGGAGCAGTCTTACATGGAAAGTGTGGTGACTTTTTTGCAAGATGTTGTCCCTCAGGTAAGTGTTCTCTGCTCTTAATTAACTCTTATTGGGTGTTAGGATGTGTGACGTTAATTGGAGATGTAAGCCTGTCATGATAACACATTTTTTTTGAAGAAAATATAATTTTGCAGAAAATATCATTATAAGTGATAATATCCTTTTTTTTTTTTTAAATTCCACTGCTATAGTGATGATATTGGAGCAAAAATAATTCAAACCTTTTTAAGAAGAAAAATTCAAGTTCTTAAGTATGTTGAACGTTTGTATCAAAATGTGGAACAATGAAATACTTTAGATGAAAAATAAATTGCACTTCAATAAATAACACAACTCATACAACAACATATCTCTACTGGCCAATTCAAATTACATGTATTTTATGTCCTTCAAAATATCTGTTTTCCCCCGGTAGTACAAGGCTGGAAGAGCTATTTGCGAACGCATTTTTTTAGGCATTTCCATGAACCCATGTATGCCATCTTCATCTTTCTTTTTTCCTCCTCTTAATTTCTGCAACATGCTTTTTTCAAAATACCCTAAGGATCAATAAGTACAGTATACTTTTCACACTCCATTTCTAGCCTTGTTGAAATGAATCTGTTTTGAGTGTTCCTGTTTGATGCAAACAAGCAATTGCTGGGCCTGTCCCCCAAAAGTGAATTATGAAGGGAGTCCGAGCAACTGTAAAGACAGTAAAACCACCAATTGTGGTTTCGCTTGGCAGAACTTCAACATTAAGCTCCAAATTACACTTTGTATGTATGGTGGCACAGTGGTTGACTGGCTACCACGTCCACCAAACAGCTCAGAGGTCATAGACTTGAATCCACCCCCGCCTTCCTGTGTGGAGTTTGCATGTTTTCCTTTCTAAATTTTCCCTAGGTATGATTGTGCGCACGAATGGTTGTTCGTCTATGTGTGCCTTGCGATTGTCTGGCAACCAGTTCTGGGTGTACCCCGCCTGCTGCCCGAAACAACTGTGTTAGGCTCCAGCACACCCGTGGCCCTCGTGGGGATAAGCACTTCAGATAACGGAGAGATGGATGGACTTAGGACATATCCATGTATATTGCACATTCAGCACAAACATTTGGTGTTGTCCTTCCATCTGTTGAAAATGGAGTACTTTTGCCATCATCTGAAATAGGGCGATTCCCAATGATATTGTAGATCTGAAATAGCTTTGAAAGGAGTAATGGTCGAAAGTTCCACCTGCATAAAATATTTGTTTGTGGTTATTGATGTCAAAGGAGGCTCAACCAGCTACTAAATCCAAAAGTTCACATGCTTTTTCCTCCCTGAATTGATGTTTAGATATTGTGTACAGTGGAAACATAGAAACCCAATTGTTTGTGTCATCCATCCATTGTGTCATTATTTCTAGAAAATGATATATTGTTGTGACTTAGATAAAGATCAGTTCACATTTTAGCCATTAATGTCGAAATCGCTGGCAATAACTGAATGCACACCACACTAAAAATGTCCCCAAAATAAACTTCCATATGACAAACAAGGCTTTTCAAAGGGGTCATCTCATTTGTCTAATTGCATGTTCCTCGGTCCACGCTCCTCTGTTTACATACTTCACCTCCCATCAGAAATTTGATTAAGGGGGGAGGAGATTGATAAAGGAATGAGGTGGGAGGTGGTACAAACATTTGGGGTAATGAGACGATCACTCCCCGATGTCATCATTTGATTGAGACGTCTGCTGAAGATGACGTCACATCATTGATGCATGTCTCAAATGCACAGTCAGAATTATTTCTGTCATCACAAATGTCCATATTATGCTGATACGCTTCCCAAATTTGCATTGCAAAGATGAGGGAGATTGGTTCGTCCCAAACACATTTACCCCACCCCATCCATCACCAACTCACGCAATGCATATTTGGAATGAGTGGAAAATTAACGAATGGATGGATGTACCTGTAAATTTGTAAAAAAAAATGTAGTTATGTGCTCATTCATCACTTTGAATAGGAAAAATCATGAAGAACCATCAAAACTATGTTAACTTATTTTCTTTATGTGGCCAAATGCATTTGAGAAAAGTAGCAGCCTAATTATGACTGCAAACCTGTACTGAGTTTAGTGTAGTAACTATGAGCCAGTGTCTTTTTAGTATCAAGTACTGCTCCAAATAGAAGAGACACTCAGCAAAATGTTTACTCAAACAAAAATATTTAAGAAACCCAAACATAGATTATAAATACCGTAAATTCCGGATTACAAGCCGCTACTTTTTTTCCACACTTTCAACACTGCGACGTGTAATATGAAGCGGCTTTTGAATTTTTTTTTTCCATCGCGGGAAAAACATGGACCAATAAAATGAATGAGTCTTTCACTGAGGTCCAATGAGATTGTATGACTAATCACAACTTCCGCTCTTTTTGCCGTAGCGGGGGAAAAATGTGCTACTCGGCAACAGTCGACCAATAAAATCAATGAGAAGTACACAGGGGTCCAATGAAATTGTATGATTACCGGTAATCACAACTTCCTTATTTCAGTCTTTCTTCTAACCCGGATCAACATGGAGAATACCAGACGAAAAGCATATGATGCAGCTTTTAACCTAAAAGCGATCACTCTGGCAGTTAAAGAAGGAAATCGAGCTGCTGCCCGT